AAAAAATTCTTTACACGTCTCTCATGTAGACCTGCAGCTTAATAACTATTTGGCCTGCACATATCAAGATCATATCCAGTATGGCTTTCAAATTTTACCTAAAATAACCTGGGTTGTGAACCTATAGGTCTTATGCAACATCTTTAATGGTGCCAATTATTTATTCCAGCAAAAGTTAGGGTAGCATATAGGAAGTGCCACAACCAAACATATTAAAACAGCAAAGTGGGGATCAAGTCTCTGAGAAATACACTGCAAAATTGTTACCATTTTTGGATTTAATCGCAAAAATGACAAATGATGGCCAAACATATCACTGTGTATCTTCATTTTTATTTCACTAATATGTGCTCCAACATATTGCTCGTTGATATTTGTAACATTGCTAACAGGAAATGCAGCCATACCTCCTCAACATGCTGAGCATCCCCAAGCATGCAAATCTTCATCTTGGGGCGAGGAATGTGGGGCAACTTCACTGACCCACTAAAACGTTTATCCTTCTGTGGATCATAGTTTTTGAGCCCAATCTGGAGCTCAATTGTCTCAACAAAGTTACGATTCTTCTCCTTGGTATCAGTAGTAATTACTGAGATAGCTTCTCGAAGGGCCTCACTCTGAAGCTTACTGCAAAACAATCATAATGGATCAATGCAAGACTATAACCTGCATTTTACAGGACAACACTTCGTATAATCAAATATATCAATTTTCCATTGGTAATATGAAATAAGGATCTCACACTGTTAACTAGAAAATGATTAATGGAAATAGAATTCCATATCTTCTTGCAAAAGCCAGCTTTTAAATCACACCAATTGAACAACAACTATTTTTTACACTATGGACAAATTATAAATCAACAGTATTGACAGGAAGAAGCTATGACTCCCAGTCAACAACCAAAATATAAATTAACAAAAGCACATAACTTTCCAAAGGCAAAACATTCAAAACATAGCATAAAAAACAGATCATAGCTCACACTATATTAATTAATTCATTTTCTTATATCTTCATTTGCCTCAATAAGCTTTTCACACGACCAACGATACTTGAGAAATGATAGCCAATTAATAGAAAACCACAATAAAAGCCTATTTTTATTATTTACCTAAACGGATAAATTGAGAAAACACATGATGTCAAATTCAAATTAAATCAGAATCCTAAAATGCAAAGAAAATGTAAAGGTTAGTAGGTTACATTAAAATAAATAAGATAAATAATTTTCTTCTTCTTACCTCATGGCCGGAGATCTTTTTCTCTTCCCGTTTCACTTCTGTTCATCGACAAAACATCCCAATAAGAAAAGACAACAATTTAGCAATCACATCAATGAATATACAGACAAAACATATAGAAACAGAGGTTTGTTTATCAGAGCACGTAGAAGACAAGAATGTTACACAGAGAGAGAGAGAAGAAGAGAACCTATTTAGGGTTTGGAAGACGGCAACGAGTGACAGTGGCGTTGGGGCGTCGAATGGTGAAGATAAATACGATATGCATAAAACCCTAGCAAATGGGAAGGGCTCTGATTCACGAGTTGGGCCGGGCTCACTATTAAATGGGAACCGGGTCGGTTTTCTCGTTCAGAATTCTCAAACATTAATATTTTATAAAATTTGCCGTTGGAGTCCTCATTCTTTGTGAAGCACAGCAATTGCCCGTCGATTTCAGATTTCTATTCAGTTTTTTTGAAACATCCAAGTCACCAAACTCTCGCAGATGATACAGATAAGTTCCATTTAGATGGTTATTGTAATTTGAACTCCAAAATTAAACATGCTTTTCACAAAGTAAGTTTGATTTCTCAGCAAGTGAAATTGTTGCATGATGTAAACCTGAAAATTTAGACTTGCTAATGGGAGGGTGGAGCTCATCGATTAATGCAAAATTTGAAGTAGAAGCTAATACTTT